CCTATGTTATAATGAACATCATTGCTAAAATATAAATGTTATTGTACAATAATAAAAAAGATAATCGGAATGATGTGCCTATATCTGCGATGCTTGATTCGAATTACCTGAAAACGAGTTCTGGGTATAATCTATCGCATTTTTCGCGCACGCTGGCTGTGTTTGTATGTATTTTAGAAACATTAAATAAAATTTTTTAATTGCAATACTTTGCGTTTTATTATCGATTTCTCGGGGCATCTCATATTAGAAGCATAATTTTTTGACTTTGCGATTTGCTCACTTTTTATATTTCTTTAATTTAAAAAAAAAAAATGAAATTTGAATTAAATATGTAACGTTATCTTAAAGCTTATTAAATTCCCTTCAAAATGACTTATTATTTTTTTAAATTTTGCCTATAGACTTCTAGCATTTATGAATTCTAGCAAAATGAATTCAATATCTCATAATAACTTTCCTCTAAATGCTGATTACAATTGAAGGTGTTTGATCGAAAATGATTACGAGTTAATTAATATCATTTAATTTATCGAAACATCAGAGATAACGATTAATTTATTTATTGCAAACGATCACGATTTCATCTGATTTTCGCATGTCTTATTAAGATTGTAGATAAAGATTATCATATAACTGGATAAAAGCCTTTAAAAAAATGCTTCCGTGCTTAAAAATATAGTATCATAATCATGATGTAAGAATACAAGTATCATTGCGCATAATGGCGATAGCGATACTGAAAACAATCAAATTTTACATAGTTAAAATATGAATTGTTCGAAATTTTCGAAAAGTTGTCGAAGTTATTAAAAAATTAATTAAGCTTAATTAAGCTGAAATTTCAAGAATAAATTTTAATTATAAGCAGTGTATGAATCATTATTTAAAAGCGTAATGTTTCCTTTTTGAAAAAGATGAGAAAAAGAAAGAAAAGGAAGACAATATCGAAATAGATATATAAATATTTTCTTTTGTTAGGCTACATTTCAAAACTTCCTCTCCGAGGAAAATTTTACTCGAAATATATAGTAACGTATATTATAGCATAGAATAAAATTTTCCTCGGAGAGGAAGTTTTGGAATGTAGTCCTAATAAGAAATCTAAAGCGGGAAGCATAGACTCTTACATAACGTATAAAACATGAAATATAAGAAAATCAATCAACCAGAGTATTTTTCAGAATTCTCTATTTTTCAGAAAGGAAGGAAATAAAGCACTTCGATTGGTTTATTTTCTTATGTATTATGCATTATCCACAAAAGAATAATCAATCGAAATTCTTCTTTTCCATGAAATGGGAGGAAAGGAAAGATTCTGATTAGTTGATTCGTTTATGTATTATGAGTTATGCGATATGCAAAAGTCTGTGCTGTGGCCTTAATGGCTCCTGCACACAGAAGGTAACAACGTTTGCCACGCGGCAGAACTAACCAATAATTCTATGTTCTTAAGTCGGTTTCACCATGCAAGACAGAAATGATGTAATACTACTTCTGCCGCGCGGCAAAAGTTTCCGTGTCCAATGTGCAGGAGCCATGAGTTCAACTTTTGTCGCGCGATGGAAATTGTATAATTGGCGCGATAGCCAATCAACGTCTTGCTTGCTCTGAAGTAATATACTCCGTTCGAGAGAATGATCTCGCGCCCTTATTCAATACGATATTATAGAATCTAGTGATTCTAATGTTTTTGTTTCTAAGCAACAAATTTTCCAATTGGATATCGGACGTCCAGTATTCCCGTTGAACGTTCCGACATTAAAACATGTGATTTAATTACGAAGATTTTGAATTAAAATTGAAGTTACGATTGAAAGAAAAATATCGTTAAAAATATATTTTATTCTTAAATGTAGAGTGGATATAAAGAGAGTAGCGCCAATGTACGTGCCTTATGCTGATTGGCTCCGCCATTAAATGTCCTTACTGTTAGTAGAAAGAAGACAACGTTAAAGAAAGAAGAAAGCGAGGAATTGCATCATTCTTCAGATATAGGATACAAAATGACGACTTCCAGCTAATTGGCGTCACTCTCTTTGTACCCATTTTATTTAAATATAAAGCTCTATATATCAAAGCACCGGTATTAAATACCATCAACCTTGGACAAATTTTCGGCGGTATAAAAAGGGCTCGGAGGGCTTGAAGGTAATTGAAGAATACTGACATTATCGACAATTGATATAAATTTGCTATTATTAACATAAATATTTGGCTTTTATTAAATTTATGATTTTTTATTATATAAATGTATTATATAAATTTATATAAATAAATATGCATACTTGTAAAGCTATAATATCCTATATATTGCAGAAAAATTACAATTTTTTTCTCTGCAGTTATCATCTCTGTTGATAATCAAACTTTGACACTGAAATTACAATTTTAAAGAAAAATCGAATATTATTGAGTTCTAAATGCATAAATATGTCTACTAAACTAATAAATCATAAAATTAATACAATATTATCAGTTTTTTTTAACTCTTAATCACATCACTATTCTCAAGGACGCGAACTTTCGTAAGGATGTCGATCTTTAATAATATTTCGTCAGTGGTTTCGCTTAAAATCAAAGTAACGTTGGTGCAACCGAGCCTTAATCACTTAAATTTTAATAGGCACGTGAATTTCTATAAACCGAGAGTCTAATAATATCTCGTCGGTGTTTAAATGTAGTGGCCTGTATTCAGAACGCGCTTACAACGAGTGCGTCAACATGCTATAATTTACGTTATACATATTATAGAATTTTAGAGATAAAAGCCCGTTTCAGGATATCAATCATAAAACTTTATCTCTAGGATGGAAAGTAAAAAGTGAAAATTTTAACCATTGAAGTTAATGGAGAAATTTTTCACTTTTTACTATTCATCCTAGGAAAAAAGTTTCATGATTGGCCTAGTTTCCACCGAGGGTTTAATCCGGGTCAGAATGTAAGAACCAACCAACTACAGTCGAGCATTCCCCTGTTACAATCGAACGACAGGGGAATGCTCGACTGTAATTGGTTGGTTCTTACATTCTGATCCGGATTAAACCTCTCGGTGAAAACTAGGTCATTGACAGTGAATTTTGGAATACAACCATTGATACATTAATGGATGGTATTTCTAGATATCTCATATGCCCGGTTCGTATTCATTGAACGGCGTAGTGGAGCGGCATCGTTTTCCAAGGCGCTGCGAATAGTTTTTCTCACGACGAGGTTTGCTTCACGGCTTTTCTGACGAGTCGATTCTGATAAGCCTCAACGGTCTTTGCGCACCTCGCTGTTTCAAGAGGAAAGTCTCTTGCTGTAATACAAAGAGAAAGGACACGTAGCCATGGGCGTGGATGTCGAAGTCTTGAATCCTGGAGATGGTAATTATGCAGTTTTATTTTTCTAGGGACTCGCCGAATTTACCATTCTCGCTTCTCCTCGGAAGAACCTCTTTCCTATTCCGCAGCTCCGTTCCATTTCTCTCATGCTCGCGCGCGCACCACACTAGAATTGTGCTTCACAACGTGCCTTATCTCGTGGCCTGAAATATCGCGGACTAGTGTGACCACGCCGCGATGTTCTTTATTCGAAATAAAATGGACTCTGAGATGGACATCGCGTCTTTGCCTTATTTATACTGTTACTAATTTTAAACAGCAATGTATTTTCGCCTAGGTTTTGTCATCTAATATTATTTCATGAATATTTTCATATGTGTAGGTCAAACCTATCCAAAGACTGGTCAAACAGTGGTCGTGCATTATACAGGTGAATATTTTATTGCAGAGAATTGATACTCTGATTTATATTTATATTTCATGCTTGAAGAAACAGAAGAATAGCTAACAAAATTTTTTTTAAAGTTGCTGACATAGAGTAGCATTATACAAATATGAAGTAACACATTACTTCTCATCTATGAATATATTATTTAATATTATTATATTAATTTTATCTATTATTATATTACTTTCCAGTTTCAATCTCTGAAAATATCGTGTATTTATCTCTAAACAATTTATACACATATAAAAATCTTAAGATTATATAACAATAGAATGATTTCATGAACATTTATAGGTACCCTCGACAATGGGAAGAAATTTGATTCCAGCAGGGACCGCGGTATACCGTTTAAATTTAAAATTGGAAAGGGCGAAGTAATTAAAGGTTGGGACCAAGGAGTCGCACAAATGTGCGTCGGACAGCGGGCCAAGCTGACCTGTTCTCCAGACTTTGCTTATGGCAGCCGAGGTCATCCTGGAATATATCCTTTAATGCAAAATGATATAATATAAAACAGATTGAACATACAAAATAGAATACACTGGAACTTTCGTAATAGCGCATGGTTGGGATACTGAATGGTATAACGAGATTCATTCTTACTTCTTAAATCATGAAATTTAGGATTTTATTAAGTGCCATGATTTTATCTCGTTTTACACTACTCACATGAATCTAGTGTGACTGGACGAGATTTTGTGCTCCATTTTGAATTCGCTACTATGAGGTTCTAGTGTAATTATTTAATATAATTCTATTTATAATCTAATATATATATAAACAAACAGTAAACTATATTAGCCTTGATAGAGACACACTATCCCACCGAATGCCGTTCTTATCTTCGATGTGGAGTTGCTGAAGGTAGAACCTTGAAATACCTCTTAGAGTGTACCAAATTTGACCAAACGCATTTCAATATAAGAAAAAAAAAGAAACGCATCAAATTATGTTTAAGTAGTCGTCGCACGAATGGCACATCCTACTCTAATGCCTTAATTCAATCGCTCGTACATTACAATATATTTGCGATTTTTATGAAGTTACATACGAGATATTGAAAACGTTGTTTCTCCAACTTCGGAAACAACGCACAATTTATACAATGTATAAATTGCAGATCAATAATATTCAAATATTGTCGCATGGACTGTAGAGTCATATGTTAATATGTAGTTTGATTACTTGCTCTCCAAGAGATGCTACTTAACTTGTGTACTTGATTTAAAATCGACTAACCGTGTTCCTATGATGAGCGGTTGAATAAAGGGACCCTTCAGATATTTGCAAAATAAAACCTGTGTTCATTCCATTTACTATGTATTTGGTGATCCTTCGAGTATTTTGTACAAAGATTCAATAAAGGAAAGAACAATTGGTAATGTAATGCTACAGATTTTCATAAGATAAAGTACAATAGAAAATTACTCTGCTTCCTCAAGCGTATACTAAACATCTTTTTCTTCATAATTATATGAATAAATAACTGGAGAGAAATGTAAGAAGGATAAGCATTGCACTATAATAAATCTTTTTCCAGGTTAACATGTGTTTTAATATACGTATATTTACAAAATATTTCGAACTATTCTCTATATTTATAAATATATATTGCAACTTTTTTCAATCACTCTGCCGTGAGAGAAAATTGTGTTTTTCGATCTAGAATATACATAAAGAGATATACATAGATATACAATTTTTAACTTTACATTAACATGATTAAGTACAACAGTGCATTTACGTAATTAATCTACTGCTGGAATATAGTATATATCCAGATTAGTTTTTGCTGAAGCCTAATTTATGTATATAGAATGATTCATTATATCGATGCTTATGTGAACTTTTTTTTTGTTTCTCTATTAAAATATCGACATATTAGTCACTACAAATCACTATAAATATTTTGAGACATTTGATAAACTAATTAGAAAAAAAAATACTAATTAACCAATCAAAGAATGTTTCAAAGCATTTGTAGCATCACGCGACCGTGATTCTGAGTCAACCTACATTAATGAAAACAGTTGATTCAGTTTATGAAATCTGTGACAAGTCTATAGAATCATAACATGTGTATGAGAAATTCCTGTCTCTCTACTTCCATAAAACCATTCTATAACCATTGATAATTTTATAAAAACACCAATTAACCATTTTTATTGCAACTTATATAGTATTTAAGACCTACTCATTAAAAATAAATAAAATTAGTAACAGCAACTCAATAAAAAATATATATCTAGCAATATAAAACATAAAAGTATTTTCTCTGTTATGTACATAAGTCAATCTTTAAAGTATAGGAGCTATTGTTCATGCTCAGTAACATGTAGACGATTTAATATAATGCAACACTATGTTAATAGCTACAGTCCATTTGATGTTTTATAGAAATGCTTTGAAGCATTCATTGATTGATCAATTAGTAAATTTCTTTCTTCCAATTGATCAATCAAATGTTTTGAAGCATTTGTAGCACCAAATGGCACCTAATGTTGATGCAACAGGAACATTAGCAGTTTAATATACAAACAACTCTGGGAAATGAATTTCGTAAGCTGGAGTTTGACTTGGTTTAGTATCTGTCTGTGGTCCGATCGTAGGAACCGTGTTGCGCGGATCAACAGACAGCGTATTAAATATCTCTGATAACTTACTCTGTAAAACATCGTGCTGTGAACAGAAAAGGAAATATTAGAAAGCTGTATAAATTGATAATAAATTTATAATATACGTTAATTAATGAAACCTTTGGTTGTGTTTTTGATACTAAATCTTGGAATGGTGCATTTCTAAAAAACTGAGAAAGTTGCATTCGCTTCTCTTCTTCTATTACTTGATTATTGTTGCTCTCTGTCAAAATTCTTTTCATGCTTTCGAACGTTAATTCTTCTCCAGGTAATTTCTGTAAAAAATTAATGACGAATAGAAGGTAATAGTTAAAATTGTGCAATAATAATATATTTAAAACAGGTTTTTTAATAATAACGATTAATTTATTAATTTATTAAATTAAATATGATCAGTGATATTTTCTAATTATTTAATATAAATTAAAATAAATGTAAATTATACCTTTTGCACACCCGGTGATGAACCTCCACTATCCAATTCTGGACCTCCAGAATTAATGTCAGCTAGTGAATTCCGTCCAGCATCAACCCATGAATGTCTATTTAAGCAAAATTTAATTTTACGTTATAAAGCTTATATATAAAACAAAGAGGCATTTTCTAAAGGTTTACAGCCAATTACTGGACCACTGTACGCAATAAGTAATTACCTGTGTTGTAAAGAATTGCCGCTGTAGCCTGAACCTTGTTGTAATTTTCCACTATCAAGACCAGCTCCTTTTAGACATTCACTAACAACAGTTTGGTCGACTAAAAGAGCTGGCGCTAATCTGGATGTTAGACCAGTATCATATTGAGATTGTAAATCTGGTAGTAAATGGGGGCTATCGTTTCGACGTGCATCTACCACCTTCAAACGAATTTATTCAATAAATTGCACATTTTAATTTTAACAATACATTGTAACCTTACTATAAAATAAATTAATGCTGTTGTGTGTCTGTGCTGCCTCTATGGTGTGTGTGTGTGTGTGTGTGTGTGTGTGTGTGTGTGTCAATTTAAAATTACTTACCTTTTTCGCATAATCCATGAGAGCGGTAATATTACAGACATATGATATTAAGATTAGTAAGCTGATAACTATTGCGTGTAAATTGAATTTAAGCGAAAGACTAATTTGACCACTTGTCAGTGCCAAGTCTTGCAGGCTCAACACCAATCTCAGTAACTCTAATACTGTTTCCTCAGAAGCTAATTCAATGGCAAGTAACGCCAGTGTGGTATAAATAGATTCCACATTTTCTACTGTATTACTAGACAGCTCTAATGATTCATACAGCGCCAAGTAGATTTCAGGACCGTGCTTCCGAATAAAGATTACATCAGGTCTAGAGGCTTTTTCAATAGCAAGATCGAGCTCTGCTACGTTCACACTAAAACAAAAAAGTTATCTTCAAAAATTCAAAAAAAAAAAAAACGAATAATATGTATTAATAGACATTTAATTAAAAGATAAATTTACGTTGGTTTAGCGAGTTTTGTAATATTCCGTCGTCTGTCGATTAAGGTATGGAATATTTTCTGTACAAGAAGTCTCATTTCAGCATCTGCTGCCAATGACATTCTTAGTAATGGATCCAAGAAACTGGGTGGGAACGTTGTGTTCAAGTGAATAGTTTGGTACTTGGTGCCAACCTGATATAAAAAATTTGTAATTAAAAAATCTATACCTTACATATATTTATATTTTTATATATAATATTAGGTGTTGGAATTAATTCGTAGCGTTTTACAAGTGATGGGAAGTACTTTCATTAATGTATTTTTTAATGCTCATGTGAAATAAATAACATTCTTTCATTAAAAAACGCTACGAATTAATTCCAACACCTAATAATAAAAATGATTTACCTTTAATAGGGACTTTAAAAGTATGCTTTGAAGTAATACATCTCCTTTGCCGACCGATACGATACGATCAGGCTGACTGTATGGAACTTTACTCATAATGAACATCATAATCTCAATTTTCTGGTAATCTGGAAGATGATTTGCGAACTCTCCAAGAGCGTTAATAAGAGCTTCTTGATACAATTGTTCATCACTACTTGATGATTGATTCCTCGTTACACTAACTCGTAGGTGAGATAATAAGGAATTTATAATTTCTAACACAGATGGTCCTTAAAAAAGAACATATCGTTAAGAGTTTAATGTGTGTGTGTGTATGTGTGTGTGATTTAATCTCTGCTATACGTTCAATAAATATTGTTTATTATATATATATATAAATTTATATATATATAAATTTATATTAACCGGAGAACTAGATAACAGAATTTATACTGGACCCATTCAATTTTTTATGTGTACTTACCAACACTTTCACCTGCAGCAATTGATATAATTTTAGACAAAGTATCCGCAATGCTGGTGCGAATCTTGGGAGACGATTTTGAGTGATCATCAAGATGAGTCATTAAAGCTTCCACTACAGTGTAGGAATATTGTGACTAAACATACATTAAAGTAATATTATTAATTATTTAATGTATAAAATATTATTACTTGATTTACATCGTTACATACTTGAATGGAAAACATAATTATTCTGAAAGTATGAATTGCGAAGTAGTTAGGGACCCATAAGTGATGATTGTCCAGATGCCTTTAATATAGATAATTATTAAAATATTTCATATATGAATATATTTATATATACGTTAATTTCACAACAAAATTTATTTTATACCTCAACACAGGTCTTATAACACATCTAATATGACCAAATGATGCGCGTCCGATCAGTTCTCGCATGCAAGTTTCCGCAAACTGCGGTGGATCCGATCGTTCTTCAGTTGGGCTGTCCGGTGTTGTGTCTTCCTTATCAGCATATCTAAAAATACAGCTTGTCAACATGCATGCTTCTCATAATATTAGTTTCTTTTAAATTACCTTGAATTTTGCATGTTGTACAATAATGATGGTACAATCTTGTCCATGTGTACAGGTTCCCAGATATTCTCAACCAAATCATCAGAAAGAGTTTTTCTTACAACGCCCTACAAAGGTATATACATAGTATATTTAAATACGTAGATGTAAATACGTAGATCTTTTAATGCAATCAATAATCTGATATATAATATTTTAATCGTACCTGTAACCCTTGAATTCCAGCAAGCCTAATTTGCTTGCGTGTAGTGGGATCATCATTGTTAGAATGGCACATTGCCGAATATTTCGACACAAAGAAATCGTAACGAGTATGATACGAGGGTGTGTCTTCCTCAATATTGGCAAATCTGACAAACTGAGAATCAATATGTTAATTATTTAAAATTAATAGGACAGAATTGAATAAGATTAATGTTAATTCGTTAAGATTATCACTTACAGACTGCGTTGCAAGAATTTGTAATTGAGGATCCGTAGATTCCAGCAGTTTTTGTACCATTTTCAAGAAGCTCTCAACAAATAGATTCAGAGTTTGTGCATGACAAGCTACCAGGAGTTGGTCCATTGCCTCCATGGCGATCACAACAAAGCCATTTCGTCTCCTATCAGAGCATGGTGTCTTATTAAGTAGAATTGTTTTATGTAGTGCATCAAAAAATATATTAGCATGCTATGTATAGAAATTATTGCCAGTCATGTTTACAGTAATAATTAGGATTAATTACTCTAATTCTTATATAATTATTAATATAATTATTTATATAACCGGTGGTATAAAGTAATTATTTACGTATAATAACCATTAAAGATGTAATTATATCACAATTTTATATTACCTGTAAATATCCCTGGAAGCTCGTTGAAACAGGTATTCTCCAATCCTATCTAATTTCTCAGGACTGCTCAACGAATAAAATGTTAGTTTCTCCATATTGTTCTTAATCAAACCATCCTAAAGAATAGAGAAGCCCATTATTACAAATTATCGCGTATGAGACACGTGTCAATCGCATTTCTCATTTGATGCAAATATCACAGGTTCAACCATAAATAGAATAATCATTTTGGTCTCTCCCGCCTATCAAGGACAGCGTTTATTGATTTTTACTCGCGAACAAAATTATAAAACATAGTAGACAGGAATTAAATGTAGACGAAAGAAAAAAGAAAAAAAGATTCGAAGATCTCACCTGAGGATTAACCGGAAAAATATTATCAACGAGCCTCTTGTATCTCGGACGTAACGCAGCACAACACCAACAACAGCCTAATAAAGAAGAAAAGAATGAATATATGCTGTATGTTGCCGTCCGATTACGATTCAATTAGCATTTCTTCGAAAATACATAATTTTTTGGCTGTATAAACAATGGCCGCACTTACCGAACATTATGATAACTTCTGTGACAACTGACAAGTAGCACCTGGTAAACACCTGCAAAACCAATTGATAACAGCAGACTACGAGCTACGCACCGTGACGTAACGCATACTTTGATTAATCGATCCACTATCGATACTCTAATAACTATCGACCAAAAATACCAACTTCGAGAGAAAGTGTGGACATGCCCGCGATTTTCAAAAATGGAATGTTTACTGACATCTCGATTTATATGCATAGAACATGAATGTCTTATTAATCTTTGATTTTATTTCATACAATATTTAAATAAAATATGTAGAAAATAAAGAAAAATAAAAAACTATTATATTCTGCGACTTTTGGGATAATATGATTAGCATTACGCAAAGTGCTCGATGGTTAAAACCTCTTAAATGTTGTTTAAGATCATGTTCTGAATAACATTTATTAAGTTCAAAGTCATTGGAGGTTGTACCTCTTATTTTCATTTTTATGTAGAAATGAATTTTTAGTGCAGAAATAAAAATAAGAGGAATCTGCATGACCTTGATCTTGAAAAATATTATCTTGAACAACATTCAAGAAATTTTAGCCGTCGGATACCTTGGATAATGCTAATGTCGGCGATGTTGTAATTTGCAAGCCTTGTAACTCGAAAAGTACTGAAAATGAACTTAATTATAGTGTTTTGAAAAGCTTTCGAGATAAGTTACAAGAATACGTAATACAAAATGAGAGATTCCGTTTAAAAAATTCGAAGTGACCTTACGACGCCACTCAAGGTCAAACCAATGGCACCATCTTATGTACCCCTCAAAGTCCCAAAACTCTTGTCTGAAATATTTTTCCTTAAAATGCACTGTTCAAAAGATATTTGAGGTAATCGATTAAAATAGGATGTACATGTGTTTCAAAAATAGTTGGCCAAACTTCAAGAGCACATTCCATTCATTGTAAGGATGAAAAAAGTCATATAAATATCAGGTTCGGAAACGTTTCCTTTTCAAGCTACAAACATTTTTTTACTTTATATTTATATCTATATTTTATTTTATACTTGTATCTATTTTTTAAACCAAATATTTATAACGTGGAAAGGAAGCGTTTCCGTCAGGCTTTTCTATTTGCTTTCCGATATCTTATATTTTGTTCGGATGAACCGCAATAATAATAACAGTAATAATAATAATAATAATAATAATAATAATAATAATAACTAATAAAACATATAAGGTAAGACACATTTCGTATGTTTAATCATTATTATACGTTTTAGCTTTTTTTTTTATTGTAAGCCGTAGTAAAATCGCAACGTAATTAAGTCCATTGATTTTACCGTATCTGTCTCATTAAAATGCAGGATCCGAACATAATCGCAATTAGCGTAAGAAATACAATCAGCTATTTGCAGCTGTTCAAAGTTAAATTACAGATACAAGTGTTTTATATAAGAGGAAGGAAATTATACTGTCGCCTGGTTTGATTTTTAATCTAGCCTGAGTTAATTATAGATCATGCTACTACTAATTCTTGTAGTAGTTCTTACGCAGCGTACGTAAAATTATATCGTATAATGACAAAATATTTTTTTATTTATCTCGTTGTTATTTTTATCTCCAACGAACATTTTTCTTATTGCTCATTAATCATATTATAGGATAATGCGCATGCTGTAAAAAACACGTTCTCATTGCAATTGTAACAAATTAATAGTTAATAAAATGATAGAATGATAGGAGTCGGTGTAATAGATTATTGTTAATTATTAAACAACATATCGAGTATAGGCGTAAAAAAAGAAAAATAGATTAGCCATACGTTTCGATTTCAATTTTGAGCTATCATCAGCAATAAAAATACAGTAAATGATATGAAACCATTGTAAAAACTACCTCTATCCTTCTCATGCATCATTAAGTATTCTGCTGCGGTCTGCAAAAGAAATATTGTGTTTATATATGTATTTATCACAGAGACGTTCGCTGAGGAATCCAAAGCGATTGTCAGTCCGCACTAGGCGAATCATCAAGTTTCCTTGAGATTGTACGATCACATTGCGGCGATTCCATCATCGCCCCGACTAAAATCCTCACTGCCGCTCACTGGATGGCTTGGACTTGAAGGACGTTTATCCACTTTATAGCAACCTTAAAAATACGACTGGTACCATTTATAGCACTGATGGACAGCTTCACTTTGTAAAGAATATTGTCGTGCATTGCTGTAATCACAGTAAATCGGTGCAAGATAATTCGCCACTAAGATTTTCTTCTACAATTTTAAGAGCTTTCTTTTGGTTTCTTTACTTTGTTACTTCATATTTAAACTTTAAATCATTTTATTCGTTTTAGCTCGAATCGTTATAATCGATTCAATATAATCAGTTCTAAAAACTGGATTTCTCTGGCTAAATTTAAACCTTTTCTCGGACAAAAATGTACTTTGTCCGGATGGGATAGAATCAATAAAAATGGATCGCTTTCGCACGTTCTTCAAAAAATGAACCAGGTCGTAAAGAGCACATATCATTATAATGTGCGTTTGACCGACAACCACTTATGTATACGCTCAATTGCTATGGAATTGGTATTTGCGCGGAGTAATGTTTATTGATACATAGGATAATTTCTCTACTTTAATAGAAAAGACTGAGTTATCAATTGTAAAGACTCGGTAATTAAATAAGAAGTTAACGAAAACACGAAAGTACAGTATTGTTTCCTGGAATCTTCCTCGCGCTCAGGGCGAGCCTGTTGTCTATGCCGATGTCTATTTCCATCTCGACTTTATCAATAATGCCTAAGAAGACGTGTAAATGCAATTTACAAGACATCTACGACATAGATCTATTCAATGTATGTCAACACGCTAAAAGTATATGCTGCTGCGATTTCGAAATTATATGTAACGATGTGTTAATCGCTTTTCTTCAAAAGAAAAGAAATTTTTGTATTTATAAATAAATAAATAAATAAGTGCTATAAAATTAAATTAGAGTTGTTAATTTTTAATTAAACTTCTCATTTTTTATCAATTATAACTATATATACGAGTTACTATTTACTTTCAACACTCTTTTAATATACAAAAAAATAATTAAGTTTTTGTTTATATAATCAGTAATAATTTTTTTATTCATTCTACAGACAATAAAAAGCTACAATATAACGCTTTGGTAGAAATTAAGGTATCACACTGTCGAATTAAATAGTACAATATTTATTATATTTATTCATGATAATATTTATTCATGATAACAGATTGAGCATACAACGACTTACTAATAATGAATAATAATTTCTATTTAACCCTGGGGATTATGTATGCATACGCAGCTTAATAAATTATATCAGCAAATATTGATAATAAAAATAGAATGTTTAATTAAGGCTTTTGTCATATTTACCTTGGATTGTTACCAGCTTTTTGTGTAGTTTAATGGCTTAATATTTTTAACACAATAAATCGCAACATACCATAGTAATATTCAAAAATTTAAAAAACGGATATAATACTGATATTCTATGATCATCTCGTTGTTAGTTTAATTCAAGAAAACTCTTTGAATTTTTTTCTGAGAACAGTAAATAATAAAAGAATATTACCTTTTAAGATATTTTAAAGATTCGTATGATTTATGTTTTAAAAGGATTTTATAATGTATTAAAAATGTATTTCTTGTACATAAAAGAATTCTAAAAATATAATACAAACTAAAAAAAAGCAATATAAATTAAATCTTATCATATTTTCATTGTATGATATTTTAAAAACAATTTAAGATAAATTTAATGTATTATATTAAGTTAAAAATAAACATCTTATAAATATTCCTGGATGTAAAAGTGATTTTGAGAATGAAGAATATATTATTTGGAAAGTTATGTTATTAAGCTAATACTAGCGAAAGAAAATGAATACAGGCTGGCCATTGCCTCCACTTCCTTCAGTTGCCACAATATGTTAAAGAAAATCAAAACATTGCGTTTTTTTGCGACTCTATTTTCCTAACTAAAGGTAAAAAATTATGATCTTTTTTTTACAATATTCGTTTCATGTTCCTTGATCGTATGTTCGTTTTTTGTAATCCTAAGAATTTTTTGCAATCCTAAGAATGGTACAGACTATGAATGCTATAATTAAAAATTTGATGTGTTAACTTGAGTATATACATCATATGTTAAAACAGCATATTTAATTGCAATTATCTTAAAAATTAGACGATCAATATGTTTCTAATTGCACACAAACATAAAGAACATTTTAATTTTTGTATTTAAAATTTCAACACATTCGTAAGAAAATCATTTCATGCTACTACTACCTTAATATTTTTATTTGATCTGCAATTATATTTTATATAACAAACTGAAAATTATAGATATGACAATTAAATTTACAATTTGTAGTTCTACCATAAATTATTTTTCACAAAACTACAAAATTATTTTTCTAAAACAGTTAGTGCGAGGAATATTCAAAGTAGAAATCATATTTTTAACTCTTTATTGCAAGGTGAACTTTTAGAACGTATCCAGTAAGATGGCGTCGATTCATTTTTTTTTCTAATTAATGAACAAAATGAGTAAAAGAGAAATAAATAGTAACTTTATCCTCCGTTTATTTATAGATAAAATTTAATAAATAAAAATACAGTTTTATACTTTATAAATTTATACTTTAAATTAAACAAAAAACTCTTCGACTAGTGGGATTATTTTTATCCCGACCTTATCAATGGAAGGTTAAAAAATGATGAGGGAAGCATGTTTGAATTAAATAATATTCTTCATGATAAAAATTATATATTCTTTTTTAATAAGCATATCTATTTACTTAACCGTTCAAGCATAAATATATTATTTGTTATCAATAATAACTTTTAGTTAATTAACTTGTATATGGAACAAGGACAAATTTTTCTGTTTGCTTCCTGATATGTTATGTGATGCTTCGATCAGATCTATAATATATTATCTAATAGTAATAAAGAGATACGTTTCGTATGTTTAATCATATATTATGTTTTATTCTTTCTTATTCAACTCATACTGCGTAATTATGTTTAATATGTAATATTTAATTATCTGCTTCATCAAAGTGCAAATGCCTCATCATATTTATTTACCCTAAGAAATGCGATCAGCTGTTTGCCAAGGTTAATTTATAGATATGAATTTGCTATAAAAAGAAACTGAAAGTTCTCACTTTCAGTTTTACTTTTCATCTCGCTTAAATTATCAATCATGCTACCATCCATCTTCTTAGTGATTGGCGTTCTTGCACAGCGTAAGTAAAGACATACGTATTATTGAATTACGTATATATTGAATAGTGATAAAATATTCTCTCGTTATTTTTGTCTCCGATGAACATTTTGCTTATTAATTTTTAGTCATATACAAACCGTGTATTTTGCAAGAAATGCATATTTATTATATACCGACAATTTGTAGAGACATTCGCTGAAGAACCCGAAGCGATCGTCGGTGGTCAGACCGCCACACCAGGTGAATTTCCGCATCAAGTTTCCTTGAAATATAATGGCAATCACGTTTGTGGTGGCTCCATCATCGCCTCGAATAAGATTCTGACGGCTGCACATTGCGTAACATTTACAAAACCACCCTACAAAGACTTTAAAGTTGCCACTGGGTCTATCTCAATCACTGGAGGAGAACTCCATAACGTGGAGAAAATTATCGTGCATCCGCAATACTCTGATAGATACGAAGATGCTTGGAAAAATGACATCGCTGTGATTAAGGCAAGTTGAACAAAATGAATAAATAAAAGAAAGATTAACGCAATGTCATGGCTTATTTCGAGCTTTAATTAAATTAACTTTGAATTAATATAATTAACAAACGTTTCGGCTTACATTGTGTTAATTTTTAAGAAAATATGCGAGCATTTTTTACTCCATTTAAAAAAAAAATATTAGAAAAAAAATTAAAAAAGAAATTATAAACTGGAGCACTCAAAATTATAGAAGCAGAATAATTTGTTACTGTAATGTGCTTCTATAATTTTGAGTTTTGCTCCAGTTTATAATTTCTTTTCTAATTTTTTTTCTAATATCTTTCTTTTAAAATGGAGTAAAAAATGCTCGCATATTTTCTTAAAAATTAACACAATGTAAGCCGAAACGTTTGTTAATTATATTAATTCAAAGTTAATTTAATTAAAGCTCGAAATAAGCCATGACATTGCGTTAATCTTTCTTTTATTTATTTCACTTTGTTCCTTTATCATTGAAAATTTAAACTTTCAATCATTTATTTTATTCGTTTCAGCTCGCATCGCCCATTCAATATAATCAATTCCAAAAACCGATCTCCCTCGCCAAGTCTAAACCTTTCCTCGGACAGATATGTACTTTATCAGGATGGGGTAGGCTACACACGAATGGACCGCTCCCAAGCATACTTCAAAAGATGGTTCAAATTGTGATCTCACAGAGCCAATGTCAGAAAGAGCTCGCTGATATGCCTTTGACTGCTTCTCACTTATGCATGCTCAATCGTTCAGGAATTGGTGCTTGCCTGGTAAATAAATAGCATTAATGGATACATAAAGATATATAATTTCTCTAGTTTAATAGAGATGATTGATTTACCAATTGTTGAGAAAACTCGATAATAAATAAATTAACTAAAACGTTTGTCTGTCTTTCAGGGTGACAGTGGTGGTCCGCTCATCTGTGACGGCGTACAGGTTGGTGTTACCTCCTGGGTTGCTCCTTGCGCTAAGGGTTATCCTGATGTCTACACTGATGTCTACTATCATCGCACTTTTATTTATAATGTCTAAGAAAATGCATAAAAGCAATCTATAAGACATAAACTATATAAAGATCAATTTATATTATGTGTACTGGTACTAACTGGTACTAACGCATTGAAAAAATTCGTTGCTACAATGTCGAAATTATATAATAATGCGTGAACTATGTTTTTAAAAGACAAAAACATTTTTGTATTTTAATATTAATAAATAAATGTTATGATTAAACATTAAATTTGTTAGGAACTTAATCAATATGTGAATCTTCATAATTTTTTTAAGACAGATCTAACTGTTTGCAATTATTGTTAAGGTCTTTTCCAAATTATTATAAATTCCAAAGAAATTAGGTAAAATAGTGCAATAGGAGTCAGGCACAGTAATTGTTGCGCAAAACAAACAATGTGGATATAACACATGAATGATTATCTGTTAGAAATCATTTTTGGTAATATTAATAACCGTTTGAAAAATATTATTAAGTTTAAAAATAAAAAACCGGATAGCGATAACGCCGAAATCATAAGACTTTCATGATTTACTGTTTCTTACGTCCCTACTGTTTCTGAAAAATTTAATAGATTAAACAGCGATGATATTAGGATATCGTTTTATAGTGTTAACACATTACGAGGATAAGGTGCATAAAGATCCGCTCCCACATAATATGGAATCAAATGTCGTGTATAAGATTTCTTGTAAAGACTACGATTACATGAGACAGACGGGAAGACAGTTTCCCGATGAAAATGTAAAGCTTGTCGAAGCGTCTAAGAACTCGACTATGTCGAATACTGAATATGAATACAATGCGAAGGAATAGCGATAGCGAATAACACGATTTCAACCTATCAGAAATCAAATACACTTTCTGATATCTAGACTATTCCTTACATTGTATTTAAGGCTTTATCTTAACGCTGCCATGTAAAGGCACCTTTAGAGTTTGGGAGCGTTTACATTGGCCATCCATCCGCTTGCTTAGAACAAAACATTTTCTTCTGTTTCTCTTTACTCTTTGGCTTCACCTTTCTGATTCCATCACGTCTTGATTCCACGTAACTCACGTCCGGAAGATAACAGGGGATCAATTGTGGATTTTGAAAGGAGGTGGAAATTACAAAAGCGAGCAAAGATTACTTACTAGGTATTGACCAATCAAATTATGAATACTCTAGTGAATTTGCTCACTTTTATAATTTTCATCTCATTTGAAGATACACAGGGTGCTTTCCATTTGATGACACAAGTCGACATAAGTATTGTTCTATCTTTGTCACTTTCTGAATGCCAACAAGGATAGAACGATGCTTGTGTCGACTTGTGTCATCAAATGGAAAACACCTACAATCGATTCCCAGAACTATATTGATCAAACATCGAATCGCATGATTCAAGTTGTAAGTCAACTGTTGAAAAAATACAAGTACAATTTTTAATATTTCGGTGAAATACATTCTATATCATGCAACATTCCGGTAAATGAACGACTTAATTGTTTTGAAAAGTCCAAATTATATTGTTATATTACTTATTAAGTTATATTACTTTGTAAATAGATATTTTATTGGTATCACATTATCGTAGACATTTTCAGTGAAGAAGCAGAATGTAAGGTTCAAGATGCTCCTTCTGCAAATTATTCGGGGAAAGAAATTGAATTGAATTTAATTTACGGTAGAAAATTGTGTTCCCCGATACTTGGTTACAATTATCAACTTCCTGATTTATCAACAAATTGCATATCACCCACAATCTTAGATACATCTCTGTTGCATGTAAGATTCAATTACATATATTCGCCGCAAGAATTAGATTAAATATTCTAATTTTATTTCAATGATTATTTTGATAGTTTTGTTTTATATCTTACATCTTCTATTTGCAGATTCCCATTTATACTCATTTAAAGACATATGATCTGAAACCTGTATGCCTACCAGAGCCACCATCAATTTTATCATTGCAATTTTTGTGAGTATTTTTCTCTGCACATCTTTTCATATTTTAATTGTTATGCTTTATTTTTAGGGAAGGTACCATACTCAGTAAGTCTTCGAAAGAAATATTGACAGCACGATTAAGTGAGGAAGACGATATATTGGCTTTGTGCAGCACTCGAAAATAAAAATTAGTATAAAAATTAATAAAGTATAAAAATTACGAATGCTAAAGAATAGAAATGTAGGCTTAAGTATCAGTATAAGCGAAAAATATATTCCGATATAAAGAAATACACATTTATATCTTTGATATATTTTTCTTTCGCGGATGACACTGCTATAATTTATGATGTGAATGTGATTTTTGTTATAGAAGACTTATATAGAAAACTTGCTCGTATTCATAGTCAGACTTGTATTTAAAGCTTCTTTAAATTTAGCTTCTTTAATCTTTAGATGCTCAGCAGTCAATGAAATAATTCATAGAGTATCTAAAGATAAATTTAAGGAAGCCTTAAATATAAAGCCTGAATACGAGTTATAGGATACATTAGGTCTATTCGCGTTGTTCGCTCGGCACCTTCGCTTTCTCTCTTTTCAAATAAAATATATATCTATCTCATTTTAAGTGTAAAAATATTTGGAGATTTTATGCAACGCGAACAGACCTATTGTCTACTTTTCAAGGCTAGGTATCAATCATGGTTTCAATGGCTGCGTTCAGCAGAACAACAGTTTTGCAACTGTTTTATGATTCTCTGCTGAGATAGGATCATTCCTCTTGATCTAAAAGCATAACCCAATCAGCGCGAAGAAAACTTCCAACAGTTGCAAAATAAACGTTCTGCTGAACGTAGCCATTCATAGTCAGGTCTTATATTTAAGACGCTCAGCTATTTTAGATGCTCAGCAGTCAATGAAATAATTCGTAGAGTATCTAAAGATAAATTTAAGGAAGCCTTAAGTTAAGTCTGACTATGAATACGGGCATTTATCCTTAGAATGAAAAGTGAAAATTTTAACCATTGAAGTTAATGGAGAAATTTCACTTTTTACTTTTCATCCTAGGAAAAAAGTTTCATGATTGATACCTTGGAGATGATAAATCGATATTTGGTTCATACAGAGAGAAGGTTTCTCTTTAGTTCATATAATCATGCTACTTATAGGGCTATGTTTACCGAATGAATTAAACAAGGATGATATGACACCTGGAAAACACCCGGAGGTGTGTTCAGATTCCCATCTAGGTGCTCCAGGTACATGTCATCCTTGTCTAATGTACGATAAACAACAAGGATGGAGTGATACTTGGGTAACACTCGAATGGGAATGTGAACACGAGCTAGCATGGGTATTCTTACATCATGGACGTCCGTATTCCCCCTTCAGTAGTATAAGCTCTATGACTGTGAGCAGTTACTACTAAGTTTGGTTTGTTAGGTTATAATGCTCTCAATGGAATAATCTCTTTTTTTTTTTCTACACTGACATCGGCTTGTCGTCGTCAGCTCGGACGAGGCGAGCGTGCGGCAGTGATTAACAATGCGACAATGAGGAGACTCAACGAGTTTCTCGCGATCTGCGTCGTATTGCAGTGCTTTTATGGTGTATGCACCACACACTTGCTAATAAACGTCAAAAATCAGGTAGACAGTTTTTTGTATATCCATTATGTACAGCTTTACTGTATACATAATTTATAATTTGTAAAAGAATAAACTACTGATTATAAATATATTTCTGAAAATTAACCTCAAACATGATTTTTTTTTAATTTGTATCGAATATTCTTTTTTTTATGTCAGTAAATAATTAAAATTTAAAAAATAAGTTTTCATAAGTTAAGTCCTAAAAAGAAATTTTTATTTACAGGGCGGTGATATTCTTCTAGAAACAATCTCGTCTAATGTTACAGAAGATTTAATTACTCTCGAATTTCAGCGTTCCGATGGCACACTAGTCACACAACTTATTGATTTCAAAAATGTAATTATTTTATAAAGGAAAAATATTCATATAAAAGGATAAATTTTTTGTAATTTCTTTTAATAAACAATATTCTTACAGGAAGTTCAAGTTATAAAAGCTTTGGTACTCGGTGAAGAGGAACGTGGACAAAATCAATATCAAGTTATGTGCTTTGTAAATCATTTTTATAAAGTAGATTTTATATCATCTGATGCAATGTCCAAACTACGTCAAAAGAATCCAGGTACCGTACGGGTAGCTGAGGAGGATAGAGGTCATGTCAATTACACAATGGACTTGTTTCTGGATGTTTCTCAATCCAAGGAAATCTCAAAGCATGTTACCATACTTTGTGCAGAAGCAGCTGGATCAACTTACACTAGGAATGATGATATAAAACAATGGATTCAAAGACCAGGCAAATATCTGAAAAATAAGTGTGATTATGTCACATATATTTTATATATTGTAATAATATTAGTCATCTTGTACCATTGATAGGTTCCTCGGAAGAGTTACTAATGGCAGCTGTATATAATTTCACAAATGTGCCACAATCGGGTATGAATGATACAAGGTCATTATTGGTCTCTAAATGTGCTGACACATCAAATCTCTGGGCACCTTGTACGTGTTCCCTCGAATTGTGCATCGGTTGGTATCCGTGTGGTTTAAAATTTTGCAAAGGAAAGTCTGATGGCAAAAAGGTAGCAAGCACTTATCGATGTGGCATAAAAACATGTAAGAAATGTTTTATATTCTCATATTATTCTAAAATGAAACAGAACTGTCTATGGGATGAATGACATATAAGGACACTATAGATTGAAAATTTCAATTTATTGTAAGCATGGCAGTACCATAAAAAAAATGAAGAAAGCTAGAAACAAATTGAATATCTCAGAAAAGTTTCTAAGGCCTGTATTTATAGTCGTGTTTCTGCTGAGAAAACTCAGCTGAAACTAATCTTGAGTCGTGGAACAGTTCAATAAACGAATCTTGGGAGTCAATTTATAACTGCGATTCAAGTGAGGAACTCAAATGAAATTTATCTCGAAATATTTTTTACGATTCAATAGTCTTGAAACAAGATCTCGAAATTTATATCCTCTAATTCTTTGAGTCGAGAAAACTGTCGTAAGTATGGTTCGGAGATAACTTGGGAAGAAAAAATTATATGATATTTATATTAAAGTACATTATAATCTATATATATAATATATTAATGTTATATATTTTGATTTCTGATCAAGACATGACTGTTGAAACGTCTGTGTCTCAAACTGTATTCTGAGTATTTTATCTGATACGCTCTTGAGATGAGATTCGAGAAACGACTATATAAATACAGGCCTAATTGTTTTAGGTAGTTAAAATTTAAAACAAAATGTTCACAAAAAAGAACAAATTAACCTTCTAATACTTTTTTATTAACTTGATTTTAAATATATATATATAAATAATTTGTATGCTTTATTTAGTAAGTATAAATTAAAAATTTTTATTTATTAACAATTCTCTTTTATGAATGAATTTAAATATGACATTTTCTTGTTTTATATATTTTATTCTATTGTATCATAATTAAAGCCAAAGCAAATCAAGCAAAAGTATTTTTGCAAGATTGTATATTAAATTATACTGCATTTATACTGCAGATCTGTATTTTATAACATAACAAGTGAATTACACTTTAAAAGGGTTTATGTTAAGGGATTAACAAAAAAATTTATTTCCTTTTTATCTAGAACCATTAAAAATTTTCATTTATTGTTTTTTTTAGAAGATCTTGTCAAACACATGATTAATATATATATATATTCATGTAGACTTTACTGAGTGGATATTTGTAACATTTATAATTTTTAAATCCAATTTACACCAGAATTTTATTTACATACATTCCAAGATTTGTAATAAAATATTTTGATATATTTTATTAAAAATATTGTTCTTAATTCTACTTTTGTAGAATTAGTTTTGCAAACAAGAAATTTTAAAAACGCAAAACTGTTACATACAGATAAAAATACGTAGAACATTATTTTGTGATCAACATTCATATGTTTCAGGTTATTATTTGCAGATACTTTTACTTTCATTGAATTTATCTAACATTCCTAATTGTTATGTTATTTACATCTAACAAAATCATTCCAATTATACCCAGTAAGTATTACCTATTATGTCTAATATTTTTTTGTACTGTGGATACATGTTACAAATAATTCACTCAAAACACAAAAATATTCTACTTCATTTCTCGAATATTTCAGAAACGTCAGAATAATTTGTACGTAGAAAATTTTATACGTGATTTGTAAAGCTGCCATTTATACACATTGTGTGTGTATGTGCGTGTGCGTGCGTGTGTGTGTGCGCATGTGTGCATTATATGTTATAATTATATATAATGCAGATTCATATATGCAGAGACACAAATAATAATAGACATCGATGAGTTAGACATATAAATTCGTGTTAATAGCCGAAAATTGTACAGTTTATGTAAGATTTGCAATACTGTGCAAGACTTTATAAGAATATTATCACAATTTATACTGATATGTTAAGTATCTGCAATTTGTAATGAATGTCTTTGCACGTTTCAATGAAAGAGTATACCTAGCGAATCATTATGAATAAGACTGCAAAATCTGTCCATTTAACGCGCGCGCGTATAATGGTTAAGTCATTGCTCTCTGAAATCCCTCATACATACATTATATTTACAATATAAGAGAGATTGTTCGAAGCGAGAAAATATATACGTATACTTACGCTTGTTATTCAACGTTCACGAAACATTTACAAAAAAACATCAAGCAGTATTTGATGTCATCTTAGCAATCATTATACTGCAAATAGAAGATGTATAATGCAATATAATGGTACTGAGGAAAATTATACTCAGCACGATTCCCCAAATAGACTTCGCCATCTATTATCTTTATAGAAATTGATTGTTACAAACGCAGAAATAGTGATAAATTGAGGCATTCATAATATCTAACGGAACAGAGACAGGATTTAGCGCGACTGAAATTATTTTAATCATTGAATGTGCTATTAATTAAAATTTCAAGACTTTAAAAGTATCAAACACAATATGTAATTCTACGACAAGATCAACATCTCTTTTTACTTATTGTCAGAAATGAATATGCCAAAACCACTTGCTACTGATTTTTCATAATACGCACAAGACAATAGAAGATTTTAGATTATTATTTGAAATTAAATTCTAAATGTAACTTCAAAGAAAAGAATCAAATTCAAAGAGAAAAATGTATTGTTAAAAGAATCAATTTTACTCCTTCGTCTCAGTAAAAATTCTGGTTCTGCTATGAATGATTGATAAATTAACGTTAACTTTGTTTACACAGACTGTAATGGTAAAAAACACGTCACACTCAATTATATTTAAATGAATGAGGATTAATACATAAAATGTGACAGAATAAATTCGTAAATAATGCACTATTTGTGTAGAAATGTATGTATACAGATTCAGAGATTGGAGAGATTTGAAGATTAATTTTGAAGTCTTACTTTGATATATCGACTTTGGTATTGACATTTTAGTTACAATAATGGCTTTACAATGGATATTAGAAAGGGCGATATGTGCAATAACAGTTTTTAGATAACGAGAAAGAATTTATAAATATCCTATTATAAGAGAGGATATTATAAAATATTTATAATAATTTATTTAATATTTGTTTCTTTCACTTGCCTGTTGTTTAATATATGTATAAATCTATTTATTTGGTGAAAGATTTTATACAGGATTTCAGACCTAACGCACTATCTGCTAATGATAGATTTCTGAAATCATTTTGAGATGAAAATTTAATAACATAATGTCTAGCCTAAATATTTTTTTTTAACATAATAAATATAAAAAATTAGAAATATTAGTAATTTTATTTTCGCCTACGTAATATTTATATTGATATTAATAAAAGGCAACTATTAGCTTTTATTTTTAGTAACAATATAACATTTTGTGTTGTACCATATATCCCTAAGCGCGTAAATTTTAGACGATATAACTTAAATACTGCTAATTTAAATGATTATTTAAAAATTATTATAGCTTCAACATATTGGTATTAGAATTTTAATCTCAAAACAACTTCAGGAATCTGCCATTAGCAGGTGGTGCGTTTAAGAGTGAAATCCCCTATATATAGTTATATTAGAGCCTTCTAACATAAGAAGCGTCATAATTATATAATAGAAAATGAGAAATATTTGTCAATCAATGTTTTTAATCATTGTACCCTTTGATGTAAAATTTATGGGTATTATATCACTACACTAAGTATGATTTCAGCTTTACACATAATGTTATATCTTATACACATATTTTTTATATATATTTAATAAAAAGAATTAATATACATACATGTGTGTTTTAATAACATCGAGCGATTAAAAAATCCTGAACAATCGTTTTTATTCATGCGTGATTAAAATATATTTACGTGATATATTACTTCATGAGAGATATCAACGTTTTTAAAAAAAAACTATATAATTTTGTCAAATTTCTCAATAAGAAATTTATTTTAAATGAAGATATATGGACAACATATATTTTACAATATAATATATATGTATGTGTGTCTCATACATATATTGTGTGTACCTATTATAGGCGTGTACGATACATACATGACAAAATAAACAATATGCACAATGTAAAACGCATCAAAAATATGTTGTTTTTTGTGGAAGAATATTCTTTGAAGAAGATATGGGGAGGAAGGGAGGTAAATGTTTGTTCATAATTGATTCTATTAAGTACGATACATTAATAATAATAATAATAATAATAATAATAATAATAATTATTAATATAGGTAATATAATAATAGCAAAATAATAATATAATAATAATTTAGTTTTACCCAAAATTCTTTACACATTTCTATACACATCGAAGACATTTTGCACCACTTGCATTTCTAGGAAACTTGATGTGCAGTTTGCACAAATTGCTAGAAATGTCACCCTGATGAGCAAGAAAAGAAAAATTTATGTACAACAAAAAACATATATTATATAAAATCATCGTTTGTAACGATTAAAAATAAGCTTTTGAACAATAAAGCTCACAGTGGTGTAGCACCAAAAGTAAATGCTGCTATCTCGGAATAAATACGAGAAGACTTACTGATGCAAAATATTTCTTGACATGTGAAAGTTTTCTAATATAACAATATAAAATTTAATATTTCTCGCTATCGCTATTATATCTCTGCTACTGTATTATCTTTGATAATGAAATTAATGTGACAAAATAATGTGACATCTATGTGAGTATACAATTCTCTCTGCAATTTTAATGCTATACACTAGTCGTGCCACCTATCTCATTACGTTTCTGAGGTCCTAAAGTGTTCATAGTATAAGATTGTAGATAAGATATCGGAGAGATCTCGAGGAAATTTAATATCTTGTAAAAAATTTCAATAAAACGATACTCGTTGTAACAAAATATGATGACATTCTTGATCATATCAGGTAATTTATCATTGTTTGTATCGTATTATTATATTCGTATCATATTTTTATCGCAATTTGTTGACAGGAGACAATTATATGCCACTGACTCGCATGAATGCAATTTCAATTGTACTGACATCCATAAGAGATCATGTTTATACACAGAGGATACTCTTAGACGGAGTTACAAAAGATAAAACTGCAACTATAAATATTTTCCGTGTTGAAAATTAAATTAAGTATTCCAAACAATATCTTTTGCTCGTGTGAAAACTCTGAGCTAAAATATTGTTTCCAAAGTTAAATGAAAAGAACGTACCTTTTATCACGAGATAAAATCTTTTGATATATTTCGGATAGCACTAACCACGTGATGACGTAAAATGCGCGCAAAGTGTTCTGTTCTCCTTGATTGTGAGCGAAAAATGAGTCCCTGAAATTCGCACGTCAATCTAATCCGAAACCTGTATCGTTTTGTGCACTAGAAGGAGAAACACTAGCTACTGTAGCAAGTCTTGCGCACGTCCGCAAGTATAACACTGAAATCGTCATCAGCCTTGGGCTGTACGTGTTCCATGCTCTGCTGCTGCTGCTGCTGCTGCTGTGGTTGTGATTGCTGATGCTGTTGTGTCACTGAGTGATCCGTGTACTTGGATACTTCCAGTCCTGGATGATACTGCTCCATAGTGTGACCGATCGCGACATTAGGACAACGAGCATCCTTGTTCCCCTGCTGATCGTCGATGATGCACTGAGAATTTGCTATGTCCAATTGAGACTGCGGCGGTGCCCCGTAGTAGCGCAGATCGCTGGCGTAGTTATGGTTACTGTCTAACATATTCTGCGAGGATAGGCTCGAATGTGCTACGCTTGTCGGATGAGAATACTTGAAATATTTTTCCAATTGGAGCGTCTGTTGTTGATCATCCTCGGCACTCATACCAGGATCAATATGACTGCCGAGAATCGCATGCTGTTGCTGCTGACCGGAGGATGCGTCCGTTTGATACTCCTGATGATGCATTTGGTATCGGTGCGTTACTGTGCCTATAAAAAATTAAGAGCACGAACAAGAACTTGATTAATAAAATTGCATCATTATTGAGAACTCTATTGTAATTCCTTTGATATTTGCTATGAATAGATATTCGGAAATATTTTCCAGTATTTCTTTACTTTTCCATTTCTCGAGAAAATAATTTTCTTTAAAAAATATAAAAGCAATTAATTCCAAATTATTTCTGTTGCTTATATCTTTTTTATAAAGGCGTTTCTCGATTATATTATACGCTAAGAGTCTTTTATTCTTAGTCGAGATCTACGAGCCTTTGAATTTAATTCTCAACTACATGTCTCATTTTAGAGTCTTAATTTACATGTCTAGGTCCAAGTCATCCACGGCGTTTTTTACTGACTCCGTAATTATCACAAATCTCAATGAAAAATATTTTTTTTTAAATAAAATGTCAGAATGTATAGAATCAAGATATTAAAACATAAAAAGATTTTGATAATGATTAAAAAAATTGTGTCAAAAAATGTTAAAGAACAATTTGTGAAAAAAATGCAATAATCAATTATTAAAAAAAAATCTTTGTGATAAAAAAAGATACAAATAAAAATAAGTAGTGTTTTGAAAAGATAAAAACGTGAACTTTAAGAAAAAAAAACGTTATATTGATTTATTCCAAAAAGTATAGTTATTTGCACGATTGAAGTGAGGGCATTGTTATACAATATACATACTCGGAAAAATGATATCGGAGGTACGTCGAGTATTTTCTTCTTTAAAAAAAAATGTAATGAAAATATTTTATATTAAATATATGTATAATGATTTCGACATTATTTATTCACAATTTTATAACTCCGAGAAAATAGAGCGATTACGAATCATCAAGACGCTTTTCTCGCAAAAATGCTTTTCTTAACAATGAATATATGTTTTAATTATAAGAAGACAACATATACACTTGAATACAGCACTAATAAACAGGCACTTAGTGATTAAATTAAATTTTACTTTTGCAAAAATCTTGAATTTACATTTGACGGTCCAAGTCAAGTTTATATTTGTCCAAGTCTTTTATTGCATCACAACTAGCGCCGAGACAACGACGAAACAATTGCATCACGACGGTCGACAAAGAAAGGTTCCAAGTTTTTTTATCTCCTCATTTCAACTTTGCAATATTAATAACAAAAATAGTGGCAGACTAAAACTTTCACCCGGATTCAATGATCCACTCATGTAGTTAAGAGTTAATATGCGTAAGTGAGAACGGAAATGTTACCGGGACAACTTTCAGCGGCTCCGCGGATTCCTATGGGCTGCTGTCGACTGTTGGCGCATTGGACCGGATTGTAATTACTCTCGACGGTAGGTTGCATCGAATAGTTCGTTGTGCTCTTAGACGTCTGTGTGCCGCTGTAATGCTGCAGCGATTGATCGTGCGGCGAGGCGACTGGTGGATAAAACGTGCCCGTGACGGAGCCGACGTTGTCGAAACCGGAGCGAAGCTTATTGCACGACACCATCATACCGTTCGCTATGCCCACTGCGGCTATACTCGTTGACTGTCTCTCAAAATTCAAATAGCCCATCTAATGAAAAATATAATTGTTTGTTTCGTTCGATCTGATTTGACGCAGATTAATTTAGCATGACATAAAGAGGTTTAAATTGATTAAAAATGTAAAAATAAATTTAATTTCATTAATTTCATTGAAGCACAGATCAAATAATTAAATTTTTATTCGTAGTTTAATATATGATAATTTGTAAAAGATTATAGTCGTAATATAGAAATCTCAAAAGTGTGGAATACGTACGGATTTTTTATACGTTAAAGTATCCGTATAACTGCCGGAATTTTGACACGATGATATGCTAGTGTTACTAGCGTGACCCGCGTGCAGTTGATTGTCACTACTCATAAAGGTATATCGTTTCGTCTGATCAGACATGTCTCCATGTTGCTTTGAAGTACCTTCCATCAGATCTCGTTCTGGATCTGGATTTTGAGCGGACGATAGATGACCACCATCACCTGGTTGGATTAAATTATCTCAATCATTTTGTACATGTATAATTATTGTTTTTACATGTATAATTATTTCATAATTATTTTAATCATATCGTATTGTTTTTTGTATCCCTTTGTATTTATTTTTTCGCAAAAAGTCATCTAACTGATTGTACTATTAATTAAAAAAAAAAAACGTATTTTAGCAACAAGGATTTTAAAAGAATTTATTCAATTATCCGGTGCATTTTTTGTTTCAAAAATTTACCATCGGGCTCGGGACTGGCCACCGGAGATATGTCCGGGGTGTGGATGATGGGCGTATAAGGACTGCCGTAGAGCGAATTATTTTCCGATTTGTACTCCTGGATACCCTGCTGTTGCTGTTGATGATACAGGGATGAGATCGGGGAATGGCCACCCCACGGGATTTGAGACATGCCCTGGTAACTGTCCATCTTGGACCTTAAACGTATTTCAATTATGATACATAAATGATGCATTGTCGCTTTGTAACATTGTACACAAGTATGTGATATATTTACATTCCTTATTAAGACGAATGCTCAACATGTTAAGTCTAAACATTGTTAAGTCTCGAACAATGTTAATCGTCGAAATCATAATACCGTCGTCGGCACTTCATCGTTTAAATCTCGCCGGAATCTCTCAATTAATCGCGGCGGTTAGCTCGCACGTACCTTCATTAGCAGAAAGTACAGGTCAGAGTATCGACTTACATGGAATGATGAATCGCCGAGCCGGCAGGATTGGACCTGTTGCCGGCGGTGTTGGTCGCCGAGGGAGGTGAGGACGGTGCACCGGGTGTCCGTTTCGCGTGCTTCCTACGTCGCGGCCTGTACTTGTAATTCGGATGTTCTTGCATGTGTATGACTCGGAGCCTCTCAGCCTCCTCGACGTAAGGCCTCCTGTCTTGCGGAGTCAGTCCTCGCCATTTCTTTCCTGTGAGAAACCCGAACAAAACCTCGTCAAGTAAAAGACAGAGAGAAAGAGAGAGAAACTGTATGTAAAATGATTAATGCCCAGTTATACCAAGTCATTTTGATTTTAAGCGAGACTTAAAACTCTATCAGTCTTTTAAAGCCAAAAAGAGACAGAGACAGAAAGAGTTTTAAGCCTCGCTTAAAATCAAAGTAACGTTGGTGCAATCGGACCTAAACGACACACAGTATGTACAGAATTATCCTTACCAGCGTTCCGGTACTCCTTGTGTCGCATAAACAGTCAAAATATAAATAATGTAATAAAATGCCGAATGTACCTATGTATTACATGAATATGTGTCGCTACAATTCTTAGATGCAATATTTTTATATAAAGAACTTTTAAGAGATACCTATACTCCGTTCAATGAAAGAATGATCTCAAAAATCGAGGTCATTCTCTCATTGAACAAAGTATATTTTGATACAAATTGACAATGCTAAAACTTGCAAATATATTCACGTTAAATAGAAATAAATGATAAATAACTTAATTAAAAGATTATAAAATTATCTTTTTAATTAAAAATGTAAAGTTAAGCTCGTAATATTTCTAAGTCATGCTATTTACAAATCTTTCAATATAAAAGCAAATAGTAACGTGTCGCATTGAATATTTAAAAAAATTGTTCAGTCGGAAAAAAACATTTCAAACGGAATCTTTGATGGATTGAAATATACTCGAGAAACAAATAGAAACATAAAGTTTCATTATTCACTGTTCTTTAAAAGATGAATTCATTGGACGACCTTTTAGATCATAGACGTCATCACTGCATGCGTTTTAATATAACAATTAGACATGCGAAATCTCGCATGTTCGTATAAATATTCTCGATAAATTACGCTCTTCGACAATAATGGGGCGAGGCCACAATGTATACATCTCGATATCCCGAATCTTGATAAAATCATCGGTCGAGCTAACGACGCGCTTAATTCGACTCGCGAGAGAGAGAGAGAGATATTATATCTTTCTCTTCTCCATAGCCCCGATATACGTAGTGCAAAACGAGCACAGAAATGATCTCTCCTCCCGTCGCATATACACGGAGTATATATACGTACGGATATACGTATTTACAGGTGGGCTTGGTCGGCGGCGGCGAGTCTTGGTCCGACGACCAAGCCTGGAATCTGCCTTAGTTGCGTTCAATATGCCAACATGGTAGGCCGGAATATCATTAAGCGAGGTATAAGGGTTAATACGAACGTAAGATGTTCGCAATAAGAACGAAAAAATTGAGCGCGAGGTAGATATCGCGGATATCGGCGTGTGCACGGATACGTACTCTCTAAATTCTTTAGAGTGGAATCTCACTATAAAGAGACAATTGAGCCAATCTTGAAAAAGAATGGCACAATTTTTAATCTTTAAGAGTGAAATTTCACTCTTCGGAATGACGTTTATTCTAAAAATTTTAAAGAATGACACGCGGAGACACCACAGCACCGCATTTTCGTATAGAAGTATATATGAAGAAATATATAAACATACATTAAGAAAAATACTACTAAATTTTAATAAATATTTATCAGAATAGATATAGTGCCAAGTAAATATTTATTTAATAAAAAATGATTGTTAAATTGAATTAATGGTTTTGCACCAAATAAATATATCATTACATTTAGTAAATATTTATTGGATACTATTCAAACGAATGACTTGTTAAAATTTACTATTTTTTTATTGTATAAATATATAAATGTATAATATAAGTATGTATATGCACGCACATATATATATATATATATATATATATACTTATATTATACATTTATATATTTATATACATATAGTTATGCGTACAATCTTGTAAAGGTACATAGGTGGCGTAGATATGGGTGCGCCCGTGCCTTCAGCCAGCCACAAGGCACGAACCATTATTTCATATTTCATTTTGTATATTTCAACTCTCCGCAGGAAAGACGGAGAAAGAGAGAAACGTTGACCCAGGGGACTCCGCACAAGAGGGAGGGGCGGAGAATAAGAGAGAAAAAAAAAAGAGTGCAAATCGATCGTTGTCGAAATCGCACTTTGTCGTGCCGAATCTTTCCGCCCTATTCACTGATAATAAACAGTCGCGACGGTGCTTTCTCAGTTTTCTCAGAGAACACTTTTGCGGTGAAGGAAAGCGAAGAGAAACAAAAAAGGAAGAGGAAAGAAAGAACTCTCGCGAAAAAGAGGAGAACGCTATTGTCGCTCGACAATGTCCTCCCATCTAGCGACTTCTCGTTTCTCTCGGGTTCCGGCTAGTCGACTCTTCAAGCTTCTTGCATGGAAAAAAAAAAAGAAAAGAAAGAAAGAAAGAAGAAGGAACCCGGAGAGAAGACTATCCGGCAAAGGGGACACGAATGAGGTTTTCGGCTAACAATAAGTACACTTAATTTAATATTCTTGGGCGCGCGCGAGCGGCGAGTTATCCCTGGCGATGATTCATCATCACACCCGCGCACGCCTGCGTCCCACCGTGATGTCCTCGTTAAGTATTCTAATGGTTGGCGTGTACCTCTAATTTACTGCGCTTAGGCCGCGGCCCGGTCGGACGACTTCATTAATTTCGATGTTTCGAGCAAAACCGGGCTACGCGCCGTCGAATTAGGCGCGTCGCCGGGGAAGACGTCTGGGTCGAATTGTCGAGTTAGTTTGCTCACCGTGATCCTCGTCTGTTGAATCGAGCAACGAATGGAGAACGCGCGTATTCTCTCTTAAATAGGCAAGACTGGTATCGCCGAAAAATTATATTGTTATGTTATTACGAAAAGAGAGTGTTAAAAAGGGACTAATTTCTGTTTCAAAAAAGTGTATACAAGTAAAAGGAATAGTGTTTTTTTTTTTTTGTAAATTTTGACCTCCCGGATACGATAAAATTATCAAAAAATTCGTAGCGTTGGAAAATACTTTGAAAATTGAACACAAATGTGGCGATATCGAAATTTCAATATTCTGCATAATTTTCAAGGTATTCCTCAAAACGTTACAACCTTTTTAACAATTTTATTAGTATCTAGCAGATCAAAATTTACAAAAAGCACTATTCCTTTTACCTTACACCTTTGAGCAAAAATCAGCCCCTTTCTTTCTGTTACATGTGGGCATTGTTAACAATTTTTAGCGTCGCGAGCTTATAAAAATAAAGGCATACATGATAACTGGTATACAATTGCTGACGAAATCATCTCGGTATTTAATCTCCACACTAAACTCCACGCTCCGTCGCGTATACATAGCGAACATGGATATTTTGTAAGAATGTTCGATGCTAATAGGCTTTCCATTTTGCGATTTCTATCGACTCACGCAGTTCCATCTTAGCGAAGAGATTATAAATTAGCTAGTCGGGCATCGCGACAAATTGCGAGACTGCCAGCGAGCGAAATCGCGCGTGTCGAAAGGTCCCAATCGAGAGTCTCCAAGAGAGTCTCTCGGCAAGAAGTTAAGAACCGCGCGTCCCGTTTCGCCGCGATGACATTTTCCAGAAAGCTCGTTCGTTCTACTGCCTAATTAACGATTCCGCGGTGATTTACGTACGCGCCAGTCGGTAATTCACCCGGCCAGCGATCGGCGATTAACTTCGCCATTCGTCTCTTTCTCTCTCATTCCCGAGTGCTGTCCACCAGGCACTTTAGGAATTTCGTTATGATCGCGGACGGTACACTCGCGCGTGGATTGGCACGTGACATTTTCAGAATCGAGCGAGAAACTTCTCGCACGCGGCATTTAGAATATAACCGACCGACCGATTGATCCTCGCCGCGAAGTTAGTTAGCGCCCGCTTAATGCTTCAACCTGTTTGCCAACTTTAATCGCGTACAAATTACCAATAAATCTTCAATGTTGGACCAACATGGGGTCTGTTCTTAGTTGACTTTCTTGTATAGTGTTCCATGATATAAGAAAACCCAAGTGTACTAATTTCAGCGATGCGCAGTAATTCAAAGTAACGGCGATATTCGTGATCAATAAGAAATTAGTCAGAAATTTATCACTAGTTGATTAGAAATTTGCCTCAAATTATATTCAACTCTCATTACGCACAATGTTACACCTGTCTTTTTACCATACATGATTTACCCTTTTCCGTCTTGTCTCTTCACATTACAGGAAAAAAAAAAAGATGAACCGTGCGCTTCATACATAAAAAATTCAGCTAAAAAAACAGGCTATAATATTTCTTATAGCAGGGTGGGGGGGAGGGTTCTTGTAGGGGAGACCGGGGTCAGTTGAATATAGGGGTAAATAGAATAATCGAGGCTACATTAAAAACAAAACATGCGAGACATGCGTAAAGTCTGAGCATGCAGCAGCGACTGCCGCTAAGTCTGCTGTAACATCTTTTTGAGAACACATCTATGATAGAAGTTATGCTACAATTTTAAAAAATTGTACACCTAAGTAAATATTTTTATTCTTAAAGTTTTTATTTTATTATCATATATGATTGTCTGAGATATTTGATTGCTACTTAGACAGTAAGTGTAGTTCTTACTTAATAAAGTCCAACAGATTTTTTTTGTTTATGTGTCTCTGTTATTGTATAATATATTGTATAATGTTTTTAAAAAATGAACGGATGGGGATAGTAAACTAACTATGGCATGAACTATATGACTCATTTAGTGACGATTCTTATAATATTTACTCAAAATTTTATTCCTTTAAAGAGATTTTCCTCAGGTAAATGTTATAAGTTTAGTTCCCTCAAGTCCAATCTCGAAAACTAGGCTTATTCGACGTGTTTTTACACTATGGCATGAACTATATGACTCATTTAGTGACGATTCTTATAATATTTACTCAAAATTTTATTCCTTTAAAGAGATTTTCCTCAGGTAAATGTTATAAGTTTAGTTCCCTCAAGTCCAATCTCGAAAACTAGGCTTATTCGACGTGTTTTTACACGAAATGAACAAATTTTCCAAAAAGAAGTATTGTTTGCCTTGTGAAACGAATGT